GTAAGTACTCCAATTTACCACAAATAGACTAAATGATCCGACGATTTTTGCAGGGTTTCCATCTACAACGGTGGCTCGAAAATGGCAAAAGGAGACGACCCGCAGATAAGACGATCATATCGCCTTCATGACAACTGTAATATCTTTCAGGCGAAGATCTTTGCATAGAGAATGCTGATTGTAAATTTGTGAATATGGATTGTAATTTGGAAATTGATAATCCACGAAACTTCAAAGAATATATTAAATATTTTAATGATAAATTTCAAGAGTTTTAATAAGATGTAATATGTAAGTTATGAAATTGAATAATATTACAATGCATTTATTTTAATATAAAGAATGTCATTTTCATGTTCCTTAAATGTTTAGTTTTTCATTGTAAGTGAAAGGAGAAAGGTTCCGTATGCAGAAGTCCATGTAAGTGGGAAAAACTTTCTACTGCAGTGCATCGAGACGCGGGGGTCGCGAGCGGGGCGCGGCCGCGTGCGGCGTGGCGCGGTGCGGGGAGCCAGCAAATGTGCACCCGCCAGGCTATGCACTCGCAAAATTAAAACTTACCTAAGTACATATATTTATTTTCCAATATCCAATAAATCCGGAAATATTAAATAATTATTTATTTCATTTTATTAGTAATAATTTGTATCAATTTAAATAATTCATTGCATTTGGACGTAATGTTCTCTACGGCGAAAAATTCAGATTCGGCAGTAACACCGCCTTATTAATTCGCCTTGACAGTGTCATCTCAGAATATGGCTTTATTACTCATTTGCACAAATTTGAATATGACTTTATTTCACTTCTGGATTGGAAATAACGCCATATGGTTTTATTTCCAAAACAAAATGGAAATAAGACCATATGGCCTTATTGCGTATGGTGTTATTGCACCCCACCGTTCTTGAACCATAACAAGTAATTTTTAAGCAAAAACAAAAACCGACTTCAATTCTCATATAAAAAATTAAGGATACCGTTAATTTCTTCATGATCCAATGATCGGATCTAAACCAATTAAGTATAGGACCACCTCGGAGGTACCACCTTTCCTTTAAACTAAATTATAGAAACCGGTTAACGTGATCCAAATTTATGTGGTAACATACATAAAAAAATATTCCGACGAATTGATAACTAATTAAGTGCATTGAGAAGTTAACTACGAATAACGGAACGTACATAATTGGTTTGCCTATGGTTAGATGACATTTTAATATAACCTCACTTTTGTGTGCGTAGTCGAAAAACGTATATTCGTGTGATAATGAAATACTCAGTTGTTTTTGTAAAATTACACATATTTTCTTAATTCACAAATCGCCTTCTGTGTCAATCAATAATAGCTTTATCGCTAACCAACGGTTTTCTTATGTTACCCGACTTCAGAAAAAGAGAAGGTTATGAATTCGTGAGAATTTATATTGTTTTTATGTATGTTTATCGCATAACTTTGGACCACGTCAACCGATTTCGATAATTCTTTTTCTATCGGAAAGGTAGTGTCTCCGAGGTGGTCTCATTTCAAAATATACAACACGGTGCTTAATAGGGCTAAGCGCAATATTTATACAAAATTTGGTCGAAATCGGTGAAAAAGTTTTTGAGTTATACATATATCACAAAAGAACCATTGTATATATCAATTTTTAGTAAATATTGATGAGCTCCTTAGCCACACTGCTCAAAAAATCTGAACGTCCGGTACATGCACACATATAAATACAAGACCGTATTTTTGCCGCTGGGTGTAGTGGTTAGCAATGCCTGGGTTCAAGCCCTGGTGAAAGCAACATCGCAAAAAATATAGAAAAAATAGGTTTTTCTTAACAGCGGTCGCCTCCCGTTAGTCGATGGCAAACCTCCGAGTGTATTTCTGCCATGAAAAACAGCTTCTCATAAAAATACCATCGCCGTTCGGAGATGGCGTAAAATTGTAGATCCCTCCCCTTTGTGTGACAACACAAAGGCGCACGCCACAAATCGGAGCCAAATCTCAGCCAAACACTATCCTATCCTATCCTACACCACTTTTTTTGGTAGCACCGTGCAATTTATTTTTCACAGCTACAATTTCTCTATTCATCTCCTTCATAATTCACGCTTAATTTTGGTCGCCCTGGTTATAACTCAAATGGACAAACCTACAAGCTTACGTCGCCTCCGAATGGCAAATGGTTTTATGAGAGGCTTTCCCATGGCAGAAATACACTTGGACGTTTACCACTGCTTCCGAGTAGTAGATAGTTCGCACCTCTAACCTTCGGCTATGGCGGTCGCCTACAACCCCATATTACAGCCAAGCACCATAGGATCCACAGGGAATGAGGTTGCTTTCTGCAAGTTTGATTAGTTATGGACAGTCTGTTGAAGTTGTAGATCTATTTAAAAAAGCGAATGAATTTCTACTAGCGACAAATGGGTGTATTTCCATTCTGAGTGATTTTCCATGCACAACAGAGACTGTGGAGCGATCGTTTAATACACTTCGTAGAGTAGAAAGGTAGCTGAGAAACACAACAACAAAACCGCGATATAATTCAGGAGACAACAATCGAAAAGTTTGCTGAAAATTCGAGACGTTTGCTATTAGCGTAACAATTTTAATAAAAATATAATTTTTTTTACGTTCGGCAGTATGAAATTAATAATTTTTTTTTTGGATATTTTAAATAATTCTTGAAGCTTTCTAATCTTTGGTTACTTGAACAAATCATCGGTTCTTGAAAAAGAAGATCCAAACCTGCGCTACATATATGTATATTTTTATCCATTATTGCTTTAAAATATTACATTGTCATTGCTGTTATTGTTGCTCAATTGGTGAAAGTGTTAAAACAATATGAGAGGCTAAAAGGACTAAACATATATGTATATGTCAAACGGACCAAAGCCCTGTCCAAAATTCCATGGGATAGACATAAATTTACGTAAAGCATGTCAAAAGACTCGTAAATTTATAACGCACCAAATAAAACGTGGCAGAATTGAAAATTTAGCATTACGTAAACGCTGCGACCATTAGCGCACACAAGGGGTGGGTTTTGGGGTTTAAACCCCCCCTAAAGCTAATAACCTCAAATGCAAACTGTATCTTAAAGCTAAGAATCCAGCTCTCAAGGAAATTATAAGAAATATTTATTATAATTTCTGTTGCTTGAAAAGGCGCTTTGCTTTTGCTGTAAATTTTCATGAGGAAATAAATTTACGAGCATTTTTTTCTTGAGAGCTGCAAACTGATTTATGAAAATTTGGTAGAAGAAAATTTCTTTTCCATTTCTCGTCCGTCGTTTTATATGAATTTTTCGTTTTTCTTGAGAGTTCAGTTAATTTTTTCGGAACTCGAAATATTAAAAAAATTTAGCAATCGTGAAAAATCACCATCTATCGAAAACCAGAAACCAGAAATCGAAAAAATGAACATAAAAGTGCAAAAATTCATGGAATCAATAAATTTATTTTTACTGACTCTTTTTTAAAATTTTTTATTAGGTACTTTTGAAAGTTGAGCGCATCTTGAGTTTATAGAACTTTTTATTAAACAAGTAGTTTTTAAGGAAAGAACACAACCGACTTCAATTCTCATATACAAATTTAGGGGTACCGTTAATTTCTTCATGATCCAATCATCGGATCTCTAAACCAAATTACGGGACGACCCTAGAGGTACCATCTTTCCAATAAAAAAAGGATTATTGAAATCGGTTCACGTGGTAAAAAAGTTATGTATTCCGGCGAATTGATAACCTCCCCTTTTTTGAAGTCGGTTAAAAGTGTTTGAGTTCTGTTAATCTTATGTAAATAAAGTGCAGTTTATGAATTTTAAAACGTTTATTTATTTATTACATACTGTACATAAACTTGCATAAATGTATTTTAAAGAGCGTATTATCAAGCAAATTTTCAGTATTTTCCGGTGATATATCTTCAGGAATATTACCCCCCCCCCCACTAAAATATATTCCTGGGTGCGCCCCTGGCTGCGACCCTTAATGCGCAAATAAATTTTGCATTCAGTTTGTTAAAAACGTTGTCAGTTATTAGGTCAAGACTGATTCTAATGTTTTTAGGATCGCTGATCACGAATATACCATCAGAGTTGCAATATTCAAAACGGCGGATCCAATATGACGGAAGATTTTTTTTAACTTACCGGATTCATTTAAATTTCGGTACTCGTAGGTTATCGAGGTCGCTAATTTTGAATCTGAATTCGGATTATAAAAATTTAAAATGGCGGACCCAATGTGACGGACAAAACATTCAAAATCGATTCGATTCGCTTAAAACTTTATAATTGGGGCTTCTCTAGGCCGCTGATTATGAATCTGAAATCAGATTTTAAAAATTCAAATAGCGGATGCATATTCGGTCTACCATTTATCACGGAAAAGTTGAGTAACCCAGATGAGATATGAATGTTGCTCATACACCGTACGTACGTTTGATTTTGACTTTTCGGGTGATCAGCGAGCCCAAAAACATTAGAATCCGTTTTTACCTAATACATAACTGACCACTGTTTTAACAAACTTAATGATAAATTTATTTGCGCGTTTACGGACATGACGTCTTTTAAGTGTCACGGCATTTACGCAATACTAAATTTTCAATNGCATAACTGACCACTGTTTTAACAAACTTAATGATAAATAATGATAAGGAATTACGTCTGGCAACGTTCGTACTGTGCGGTCACTTAAACTTTCGCTTGAAANCATTTACGCAATACTAAATTTTCAATTCTGCTATGTCTGATTTGATGCATTATAAATTTACGATTCTTTTGACATGCTTTATGTTAATTTCTATCCCATAGAATTTTGGACAGAGCTTTGGTCCGTTTGACATGGAACGTTCCACAAACATATATACCTAACTAATCACAAATAACTTTTTCAATTCAAATCCAGTCCTGCTCTAGTAACTAGCGAGTACTATTAAGCTTAATCAGATGATGTTTTAAAAAATGTTCTCCATCTTCCCTTTAATTTCAGAATCACATCAAGATTTCGACAGCTATTTGTACAACGTTAGTCCATGCAATTTACCCGTCTCCAATTCAAGTATGATCCATGCGATGAGCCATAATGGGAACTCTGCTGTAGCTCTGTCGACTGCGAATATCCAAAACGTTAATACATACTACGCAACAACACAACAGCAACAAGTGCAACACACAAACTTGCAACAACCGCCGCCTCTTGCTGCACAGCTACAGTCGCAAACTCAACAGCTGCAGGTGATTGGGCAACCACAACAGTTGCAGCAGCAGCAGCAACAACTTCAACCGCTACAACAGCAGCAAAATCAACAGCATCAAGTGGTCTTGAATGTTGGCAACTTGCAAATAAATCCAAATACTTCGGAAAACTCTGAAGTGCCACTGATAATAACCGATGAAAATGCGCCCCCACAACCGGGCCCCACCATGCTAATCTCGCATGTAATCAAAAGTTTGTTGCAATTTCTCGCTCGAGACACCTGCCAACCATTGTGGAACTACGAAGATATCACAGCGAAAGGTAAGCTGTAAGCTTCACAAACCATTTACTTCATTTATGTTCTCTCTTCCTTATACAACGCCAGTGTGGATGGTGAAGTCAGCCGAACAGCTTAGCTGCTTCCTAAAGCACGTGGGGAAGGTATTCGCCGACAGCTACCCACAGGCCCGCATTGCCGAGCGCTGGGCGCAAACCGCTCTGCAGCTGGGCTTATCTTGTTCGTCGCGTCACTACGCGGGCCGTTGTCTGCAAATATTTCGCGCCCTCAACGTGCCCATCAACTCGCGTATGCTCTCCGACATACTGTCCCGCTTGGTGGAAACTGTTGCCGAGCAGGGCGAAGACATGCAAGGTTACGTCACTGAACTACTGCTAACTCTGGAGGCGGCTGTGGACAGTTTAGATTCCGACTTCCGGCCTCTGGATGTTATGAAGGACATTTTCAAGAGCACTCCGAATCTGAACAACAAAGATGGCGGACCAAATTCAATTTTACCTGGGAAAAAATCACCTTCGGGCGGCATAGCACCACAATCGCCAAATTTCTCCGTTCCCAGCCACGCTCGCAGCACAAGCTACTCTGTGACGTACTGCGCCCGAAAAAGCACCAACTCGCCATGCGATAAACAAGGTAGGTCGTGCTGGCGTCGCACACTAGTACAAATGAAGTATCTACCGCAAAGAAAATCGAAATTCAAAAGTTGAAATAATACAAAAAATGTTAATTCAACAATTTTATAATGAGCTCGAGGCCATTTTTTAAATGAAAAATGTGGTGATTTCCGAAATAGCTATCACTTCTCCCATTTTTTAAAATTATTGTTGCTTTTCCACAATAAA